ATTTCCCCCTTTTTAGCACTTTTCCAAAAATTTTTTTGAAAAAAGTGCTTATTTGTTTCACTCTGTCCGTCCGTCCGTCCGTCCGTCCGTCCGTCCGTTGACACTTTTTTTGTTTACAAAACTTCTACACCCTTGATGATAGAAAGCTGAAATTTCATACGTACATAGATCTTTACTAGAAACTTATTTCCGTAGAACAAAATTTGTACCTATCTCCCCCCCGCTAGAAGTTATACCCCCCCAAATCCCTAAAAATGGCCTTTTTTAAATATTTGTTGCAATGAAACCATAAGCATTTTTGAAATTTTGCAAACGCAGAAAGGCAGTGGCTTGCTTTCCCTAGCGTGATATACTATAGTTAAACTTTATAAAAACAAAATGGCCGTTCAAATTTACCGTTATCTAAAGTCCCTTTTTTTCCAAATTTTTGATGTCGTTTTTCTTCTAGACCCCATAATCTACAACTTTGAAATTTTAGGGGCTTTTAGATATTAACAAATAGTTCATTTTGTTAGAAGAAAATTTTTTTCCATCTCCACCCCCTCTCAAGTTATCACCTCTTGAAATTCGTAAAATTTGAATTTTTGACACCTTATATTTCCGAAACCGCAAGCTTTTCCAAATTTTTATGAACTCAAAAGGCTAACGGTAAATTCCATGAAATTAAAAAATATAATTATTTTTCTTAACTCACACAATTGACCCTTAAAATCGAGCATTATGTTAACCCCTTTTTATATTAATTTTTGCTTTATTTCAAAGACTATGCATATATGCGTCATCCTAAATATATGCAATCCTAGAAATAGTTTTGTGTATGAATGAAAATAATTTTTATAGCGTGATAGGTATACATAGAGTGTTTGTAAAAGCAGAATTTTCACTTGTTGAAGGGAAAAGTGCTACAATACAAACCGTTGGTTTGACCCAACTTTATTATTTATACATTTTTAAAGTACATACATGTACGCAAATACTATATATACTATATACCTAATGTCTGCAGTGAAAAAACTACATAAAGTAAAATGAAAATGCATTTGTAAGTCATGCGTTACAATTAAGTTTTCCACATAATTGCACAAAATTTATGTACTACCATTTATGCTGAATGATATTTTTTCTATACGAGTCCTAAAATATTTTTTACTATATAATATCCAAAGTCAGATAGTTTAGTAATAGAGTAAACATTGATCTTTTTTTTATTATTATTTTTTAATATTTCTCTTCTATTATTTCGGAATATATGTAGATATGTGCGTCTATAAAAGAATATGATATGCGATATTTTGTATACGAACGCTCGATTAATGACGATCGCAAGGAACAACTTGCTTTAGAGATACAGATTATTATTTATTTTATCCTCTTATATTTTTTAAAAATATGTATTCACTTGCTTGAATCTTAGCTTTATTATAAAAATAAGGTTGGTATTAGAATAATAGAAAATTTCTAATTATTCGCTTATAAACAACTTCCATAAGGCGCACAAAATTATGAAAGTTACTTAAAGACCTTATTATAAAGATATTATAATTAACTTCACAGTACACGTTTGTGAATCATATTTTATCTCGGTTAGTTTTTCTGATAAAAAGAAATTTGACAAGAGAAAAAGGAAATATTCCCAACAAAATAGCATAACACTATATCTCAGGGGATTCATCAAGGAATACACAAACATATACAAAAGTATGTACATCATTTTGATGGATATATGTATATCATATTCTAAATTTCTGGCTACAGGCCAATATTAATTTCAATGATACCCACAGTTGTGGCCTAACTATATACAAAAGGTATGTATCAATAGCTATATCATATGTGTAGACTCTTATTTTTAATTAATTCTGCTGTTGCTGCTGCTATAATGTTATTATAAAATTATGTAAATGAACTCAATTTATTTATGTCTAGTTTAAGATACAAGATTATTAATATGAAAGTACACAAATTTACAAAATAAATATTTTTGATTTACATAAGTGCATAATAATAAGTAGTGAGGGATTATAATAGAAATCAGCATCGATGTAGAGAAGGCACAGGCGCACAGTATACAGTTAATAAATGAAAATATATTTATGTATATAAGTAAGTCTTTGTTGTCAGTTCTATAAAATAATTTTTTTATATTTCTTTTACTTTTCTTTTTATGTTTTGTTTTCGCTTTTCTTTTGTATGTTTTTTATCACTTTTCCTTTTCTGTCGCACTTCTCTGTCTTTTTTTTTGTACTTTCACTTTAAATTTAAATGCGAATTAAACAGAAGAAAAAAAAATTTAAATATTTAGAAGAGAGAAATCATTTTGTCATGTCATTTGTATGTAAAGCATAATCATATCGCGCAACAACGAAACTAAAAACAAAGTTGAAAAACTATCATTGAATAACGGCGATAATGCGCGCAATGTAGTAGTTGATTTTCGCGTTAATAATTAATGGAACAAAGCGGAACATTTAAGATAAAATAAAAAAATCTAAAATATAAGACTACTCATAAAAAAATAAAAATTTATAAAAAAGAAATTTATATTGTAACAAATTCTTTTGGTTGTTGAAAATTTAGTCGTTAGCGAAAAAGCAAATATTCATGCTACGTTTATGAGTACTTTGTAGTTTTTTGTTATCGCATTTTGTCGCCATAACTGTTTAACGACACCACAAAATTTTGTTTTTTATTTGTTATTTCAGTTATTGTTTCCCATTTTATATAAAAAATTGCAAACATACTAGTTCCATTTCAAAATATGTTGAAGATTAATTTTTCAAAAAAACCAAATTTTAAAGACAACAAAACAGATGAAGAAGAAAATACAACCGTCTTATTTAGAAACGGTTGAAAATGTGTGGAATAATAAGGAAGGAAAATGGAAAAACAGTCAAAAACAAGCGACACTAGAAAGTAAAAACAAAAAAAAAGGAAGGCGAAATAGGGTTGAAGAAAAAGTAATTTTTCTTATTATTTTTGTAGTTCTTTCGCCTTTCATTTGAAAAACCTTAAAAAAGCTCAATTAAAAATTAGTGGAAAGAAGAAACTTGTTTTTAATACCTTTTCCAAGACGAACGAAATTGTGTTTACAAATAAACATATTTGTACGTCAGTACAAATGCTCATAAAAAAAATTATGAAAACTATACTGGAACTTTCTTATTTGCAAAAGAAAAAAAAAATAAAGTTAAATCAAATCAAAGACCAACCAATGAAGTAGCAATTTTCCCTTGAACAAGTGAAAATACTGATTTTAAAAAAAGACTAACACATTAATTAAATTATGTGCTCACTTTCTTTCATGTACCAAAATATGCATATCAAATGGTTGCATACATTTGGGATGAAAAATTAAAAACAGTGTTATCATAATGGTCGATTTTAACGGTTAAATAAGTGAATTAAAATAAGTAATCATATTTCTTGTCGGTGTTGGAATTTACCGTTAGCCTTTTTTTTCATAAAAATTCCAAGAAGCTTGCAGTTGCAGATATACATATATGGGGCCGTAAATTCTAATTTTACGAATTCCGAAATGCAATAATTTGTAGGCGGTGTAGATAGAAAAAATATTAAAAACATTTAATTTAACGAAATTAAGCATTTATTGATGTCTAAAGCTGTCAAAATTCCAAACTTCCAAAATTGTGATTTCTAAATTACTAATTAGGAAATTATGTACTTTTAAATATAGGTGGGGAAAGGTAAATATTCTCATCTAGAGAAATAAATTTTTAGTATAGATACATATATATATCATGTAATAATGCAAGCTTTCTATCTTAAAGGGAGCACAAGTTTTGTAAACAGACACAAGGACAAACGGACAGAGTGAAACTTATAAGAACATTTTCGTCTTTTTTGAAAAGTGCTGAAAAGAAGATGAATGGTGAAATTGATTAACAAATCTGTTTAAATATTTTAATATAGAAAATTTATTTTGCATACAATATGAATAGGTCAATGTGCCGCTTGAGTGTTTTTTCTTTTCATAAATTAAATTTTTAAATAAATCTTTATAACGCCTTACATTTATTCTGTACACCCCTAAAAAAAATGCTAACTTATAACAGTCTACAAACTTTTATTTCCTAAACACATATACGTTCATATGTATATAAACACTATTGTTATTAAAATTTATAAATTCATAAAGTTTTGAGGTAAAAAAGAGAGAGATTGAAACCTTTTCCGTGAATATCAGTCTTGAAAATTTTTAATGCAATAACATTGTTGTCACATCATTCAATGTAAAAATAACGTCATATTGAGTATGCAAACGTCTGGTTGTTAGAACTTTTCAAGAATTCAATCAAAAACAGAACACCTAAAGTTTACCTTTAGCTACAATAAAAAAAAGTATTCACATTTTTTTTAAATTAGCGATAAAATATCTAGGCTAATACGAGGAAATAGAGGAAATAAAATATTTTTTTTATTTGAAAAAGAGTTTTTAAATTACTTAAATTTCAAATTAAATTTTAAGTTAAAACATCGTCACAACAGTAGAAACAGATTCCATTATGCAATTATTTTATGAGAGAAAAACAATTATCTCGTGAAATGGATCTTATAGAAATACCATACAAGAGTACTTAAAACTAATTCAAGACACAAACAAGTTGTTCTAAGTAGCCTTCTTAGGGCAATTATTTTTTAATACAAGCTAAATATGTAATATTAATTATATTAGAATATATGTAATATAATTAAATATGCTACAATCAAATACAACAATTACAAAATTAAGCAAAACAGTTTCACGACTTTTGCCTTGCAAAGCGAAAAATTGTTATCGCAATTTAAAAGGATGCGAAAAAAAAATAGTTAAGTCTACAATTAGTGTTATTTATTATTATAATTATCATTGTCATTTTCACGATTTCAAAAGTTTATATACATAGTAAGTAAGTGAATATAAATAATCATATTGCGCATTATAATATTGTTTTAAGCTGCACAAACTAAAAGCTTTAATTCCTTTCGGAAATCTCTCTTACTTTTAATGAAAACTCATGTAAACTATGCACAATTGCTAATATAAAGCAATCGTGTGGTTCTACTGGGCTTGAATCCTACAAAAAAAAAAAATTTTAAAATATCCTTTAAAATAAATTTATATAAATGAGAAATATAACTTTAAAAAGAAAAACACACAAGTAAAACAAAGCCACATTTCATAATAGCAAACCATAAATTTAAAATCCAATTATATTATTCTAATCACTCAAAAAATTCTTATTTTAAATTGAAAAATGTTATATTTTAGCTTCAGGCATGCTCCAAAACAAACTATTTAGTTATTATGCTATAAAATAAGCTATTTATAAGCTATTTTGGTAAATCTTGTGCATATAATTCAATGTGTTCTAGAAAGTACGGGTGCAAGTGACAATTTTTCTTCAATAACTCAAGTCTTTGTAATTATTTGCATATCTCTAAATTGAACGGCTTGTGAAAAAGATTGTCACCAGAAAGATTCAATCCATTGATAGATTGATTTCTTTGTCGATATTTTAAGTCAAATTTTTATGAAAAACATTTTTTTTTATTAGCTCTATTGAATAATCGGAAAATTTGTAATTTTCTTAATTTTATTATAAATGCCTATAAGTATACACAATTGAATAATAACCAAGCACTTCCACAATTCTAGAAATTGTCTGCATAGCAATAAAATACAATTAATTTAATATGAAAATGTTTTTCTTTATTGCTTTCTAATTTTACACTTCCTTGATTCTATTGTCTTAAAAATTTCTATGTGTCCACATCGCTTACCTACGTATACCAAAAGGGACTACTTTAAGAGCTGTTTGAGTCTATATAAATTACTTATTTTATTTATACTTCAAACGTATTTTAAATTTTAAAATTAAAAGTTATACTGAACACATACATGTATATAAGTATATACAATGCATTTTCATCCGTTAATAATAATAGTTAACTATTTTTATAAAAAAAAGTATTTATAGTCATTTCACCTATACTTTGAAATTAATATTCAAAGAGGTGATTACCCATATTATCATATTGTATTATATCGCTCCACTGAATCAAATACTTTTTTTGTATTTAATTAAAATACTACTCAAGTACTTAAGTATAAGAAGTATAGTGTGTGCCTCTATTGTATAAATATTCATTTCTTGAGCATTAATTCCTGTGATGCGCAATGGATAAAATACAGTTTTTTAAGTATACATCGCATGTATTTCCCCTCATTGAATGCAAAAAAAAAAGATTTTAATAAAAAATAAATTTTTTTTTTTTAAAACGTGGTAGACTAGAAATCACAAAATCAGTACTAGAATTTTAAATATGTATACATTAAAGTACTATATGTATATCAAGACAAAAATAATATAAAAAAAATCTTGAATCAAATAATTTTGAATTTACTATGCGCTGAATATTTATGTTTATCTATTCCATTACTTAAAATAGAAAATTATGCAAAATGTATTTATTTATTTGTGCATAAGTATACATATAAGTATGTGCAAAAGTGAGCCGATAGGGGTATACCAAGAAACGACCATAATACATTATGATTTATTGCAAGGAAATGTTAAGAAAAAAAAAGCATTTGTCGGAGAATATGGTCGAATGAGCGTCTGAAGATTAAAAAAAAAATTCACATTTCGTTTCATTGTGAATAATATTTAAAAAGTTTGTTCTATAACAATTTTTTTATAATTAAAGTGATGGTTAAATAATTCTAATAAACATAATAGGGACGGATAGAATTTCTCTATATATAAAAATAAATAATTTAAATTTAATGTTATAACATAAAGAAATAAATTTTAATAAAAAGATGTTTAATCTATTATAAATTTTTATAGTAAGGCGTAGAGAGTAAGCCATTGCTCGTTGTGTTCTTTAGAAACTTTCATTTAATAAAGTTGGGTCAAACCACTGGTTTGTATTGTAGCACTTTTCCCTTCAACAAGTGAAAATTCTGCTTTTGAATACAGTCAATGTATATTTATCACACTATTAAAATTATTGTCGTTCATACACAAAACTATTTCTAGGATTGCATATATTTAGGATGATGCATACATGCAGTCTTTGAAATAAAGCAAAAATTAATATAAAGAGGGGTTAACATAATGCTCAATTTTAAGGGTTAATTGTGTGTGTTAAGAAAAATAATTATATTTTTGAATGTTATGGAATTTACCGTTAGCTTTTTGTTTATAGAAATTTGAAAAAGCTTGCGGTTTCGGAAATATAAGGTGTCAAAAATTCAAATTTTACAAATTTCAAGAGGCGATAACTTGAGAGGGGTGGAGATGGAAAAATTTTCTTCTAACGAAATGAGCTGTTTGTTAATGTCTAAAAGCTCCTAAAATTTCAAGCTAATACAGGCTGGGGTTTAGAAGAAAAACGAAATCAAAAATTTGGAAATAAAGGACTTTAGATAACGGTAAATTTGAACGGCCATTTTGTTTTTCTAAAGTTTAACTATAGTGTATCGCGCTAGGGGAAGCAAGTCGCTGCCTTTCTGCGTTTGCAAAATTTCAAAAATGCTTATGGTTTCATTGCAACAAATAGTTAAAAAAGGCCAATTTTAGGGTTTTGGGGGGGTATAACTTTTAGAGGGGGGGAGATAGCTAAAAATTTTGTTCTACGGAAATAAGTTTTTAGTGAAGATCTATGTACGTATGAAATTTCAGCTTTCTATCTTCAAGGATGTAGAAGTTTTGTAAACAGACACACGGACAGACGGACGGACGGACGGACGGACGGACAGAGTGAAACTAATAAGCACTTTTTTTCAAAAATTTTTTGGAAAAGTGCTAAAAAGAATATGATAGAAATAAGTCTGTGATGAAGATGTTACTTCGGGGTTTTCTTGATTATCATCATTTTGATGTTAATATTACTTTGTCTCCTTCTTCCGAAACAAAAAGATTCAGCTTTACCTCGGTATTCTGTATAAGAGATTTTAATTTAGTAAGCTCAATATTGAATTGTAGTGAAATTCTGAAGTTTTGTGAAATTCAAAGGCTTACTTAAATTTTTACCTCCTAATTTTTCTATTAAATGATAATGTTTTTGATAACAAACAGATTTTCGGTTTTAATAATATATCATTTTATCAGCTCCGATGGAACCGCCGCTGTTAAAAAATAAAAAACTTTGAATTCAAGAAAAAGTGTTATCTTTAAAATGAAATAATTCTTCTTAAGAAAAATTACAAAGGCACATAATGAGATACATATAAGTTTCGTAAAATCAGAATAACTCTGGCTCTTCTCCAACGAATGTCATAACTTACATATTAAATAGCCCTATATGCATATATACTTATGTAAACTTTAACAATTTTAGTTAAATTTGATACAAGTTAAAGTATCGATTTTAAAATTCAAATTCGGAAGAAGAAAACTTTAAATTTTTAAATTAATTGTTCGTCAAAATAATGGAGGCAATAATAAAAAATAATTCTACATTCATTATATATCTATGTATATATAAAGAAAATTTTTATATTTCAAGCAGAAAAACAATCAAAGGTCTATTCGAAAATTTTCAGTGTATATCAAAAAATTCAATCCTCATAACAATCGAATTTAACAACTGTAATCCGAAAATCAATACATTTATTATCTGATGTAAATATTTATATTTAATTTATATAAAAATTACACAAAACTTCGTTCTTTTTTTTTTTTCTTTTTGTATACGTCTTTAAACATACATATATGTACATACATATATCGTACATACTTATAACTGTAGTACACGAACAAAACCAATATGATAGCATCATCGTTGTTTTGTTAATGTTATTTTTTCTGTCTTCTTATAAAAAAATATCTGGTTTTCTGATTTAATACAAAATCCACAAAACGAAAATCATTAAAATTATAAGCAGAACCTTTAATCTTCCATTCATTTCTCCTAATACACATTTAAAGTAAGTTTAATATAGAAGGTATTCGTTTTATAATGCCGATGTGCATGCATACATTCTGTTATGTGTATGCCTTACTTTGTGCGGCTGACACATTTAGCTAGAAAATAGTTAGACGACAGTTTTATTGTTGGAAACCAAAGCTGCTTTTTAGACAAATTTTGTTTAACTTCAATATCGAAATAAATTTCGAATTTTTTTCTTTTAACGATGAACTAAATTTCATATGAACAAAACTCAACTCAAGTAAATGAGAATTTTGTTCACACTAGTTTAACACATTCAACTACCTAACTAATCTTGATAACTTAAGAACAAAGAAATTTTACTTAAGTGACCATAAGAAAATATTGTTACTTGTTAAGAAAGAACCTGAAAAAGTTTTTTCTTCCTCACTTTCCAATGAAATTTTTTTTTTATTTTATAAACACAGAATTGAAAACTTGTAGATGAAGATAAGAAGAAGAAAAAAGAAGAAATATAAATGTTTTTTAGTTTTAACAAATACAAAACGGTTCTTCGATTACACCTTACGGGCATTGTAGTATTACTTTTTTCCTGGGTTTCTGAACCTAACTAAAATTTTATATACGAAGATTATGATGACCACAAAAATAAGATTTTTCACCTCACCTTTCTTCCGCCAAAAGTATAATAATTATAAAATGAAAAGAAAAAAAAAGAAACAGTCTCTCTATATTTAGGATTCTTGTACCTTTTTACTTTTAAACTTTTTTTTTAAATTATATTGTACACCACAAATACCACAAAATATATGCATATATAATTTGCTTACATAGTGACAATGAACGAAATTACAGCATTAAGAATTTGTTTTACGTCATTTGATTTTGCAATATTTTTTGCTGATTTGACACTTTTTCGAAGTGAAAAGAATGGCAAATATACTACCGTAAACAAAGAAAAATAAGGATTCTTTTATAACAAAATAATCAAACCCACTATACCATCATTAGCAATAAACGTTAGCATATTTTGCCTTTTCCAATTGAATGAATTCTCTTTCTTTATATATTTTGTTAGCCCAGATATGGCGGACAAAAGTATTCTTGTATCAAAGGAATAAATTGAAAAGAATTCTCTCTCACTTAGTTTAATGGAAAAATTTAGCGAGTTGATCAT